CAGACAACCCTCTACAAAATATTTTGCTGACTGCAGACCCCAGTCAGTCCAACCAGCATCCACTTGAACCTCCAAACTCTGGACATCCCGACCAATCTGACCCTCCAGGCAGAAGCCCTAGCAAGCTTTTTCAGCCAGCCACTCCCCACTGGGCCTTTTTGGCTCTCTCAGAGTCGCACTATAAGGACTACGGGACAACGGACCAACCATTCTGCCTGCAGGACATACAACAAGTGATCTGACATCTCCGAAGGGCCATACCAGGATCAGTGGAATATGGCACTGAACCCAGGCACTGAAGACACACCTCCTGAGAAAGTCCATCTCTTATTAGCTCGCCTTAACAAGGTTTGGCAGTCGGGAATGTGCCCTCCCAGACTGGACGACAGCCACCATCAGGTGGCTGTCGTCACCATCAGTTTGACAATCAGGTGGTCCTGATTGTCAAACCTAACCATCAGGTGACAATCTGTTCATCATACCATCCCATTTCATTAACATCCCAAGTCGCATAAAACATTTAAGAGGATCCTGCTCAATAAACTCCATACTCAGATCTACTCCAAGAACATATTCCATCGTAATCACTTTGGCTTCCTACCATACATAGAAGTTGAAGAGACTTTAATTACAATCCACCACCATCTTGCCATTGCAAGGGCAAGACATCACTGGATATACCTGATTGCCTTGGACCTTGAAGGCACATACGATTCAGTTTGCCAGGCAGGCCACTTGCAAAACTAGCAGCCATAGGCGTTGGAGGTCGCACGCTACAGTGGCTACAGTCCTTTCTCCTCCAACGTATGGTACCTTCCACGTCTGATGGCAGGACTTCAACTCCTCGTGCTTTCCAGCAGAGGGTCCTTCATGGCAGTGTTCTAGTCCCCTTCCTCTTTACTTGTTATATGTCAGACCTATGGGAGGCACTCTCAAAAGATATCACAGCCAGGCTACTGCTCATGTGCAAAGAGCACTGGCCCATCTGGAACAGTGGGCTTCCACTTGGAACCTCTTGAGAATGAGAAGCTCCAAGTGAAAAAGCACAGTTCTGGACTTCTCACCAAAACACTGCTATCTGCCAATCTCTTTGTCCCTTCATTCGGGGCAAATCTCACAATATATTTCCTTACATATCTTAGGAGTCCAATTCTCACATTCTCTAACTTGGACAACCCACAAGTCTTTCTTCAAGATGAAATTCGCATGAGCAGGCACATACCTAAAATACTTCACATTAAGTAGGAATGGGGCCCGGACGACTGACCTCCTCTGTCTATTCCATACAGTCTTCAGCCTGATGGGCGCTAACTGAACATCAAAAAGACTTTACATGTTGCTCTTCGCACAGCCTTGGGGCTACCATTAACAACTCCCATTCTGTCATTCTACACAGAGACACAGTACATACCTTATAAGACAGGGTACATTTATAAGACAGCACCCAGCTTGGTGTAGTATCGTTGGCGTCCTTACCAGGAACACTACATCACGAGGGTCTTCTCTATCAAACAGCAGACTGTCCTATCCCTGTTGAAACTATACCATCAAAAGAACACTCCACCAGATGCCACACATCTACAACTGTTTTTACACCTAAACATCTTCCTGATGGTGGAACCCAGTCCATCCACAATCACATGCACCCACTTTCAAGAGGAGGTCTCTAACCAGTGGGAAGACTGGATGCTTATCGGAGCAAACACTTCAAAATCCCCACTCAGGACAACTGCTGGGGTGGTCATCCCTTCTCATCAAATCACTGAAACATGGCAACTAGACAAATGTTGCAGTATCTTCAGAGCGGAGGCCCTGGTCATCCTGCAGGCCCTTTACCTTAATAAGCCCTCTGCCGCCTGACAGTCATCACTTGACACCCGATTAGTCCTTCAAGCAGTGGCAGCAGTCACTCATTTGTCACTGCCACTCATCATAGACCTGGCAGCAACTATCACATCATTTTCAACACCTCTCCCTATCAGGTGGACCTTGGGCCATGCATGCAGGCATCCTAGTCAACAAAGCGGCTGACAAGGCTGCATGAATTAGCACTTCTATTGGCACAATATGGCTCCAAACCTCATCGACATATAGACACCAAGCCTTTGCAGGAAGGGACACAACCACCTTTGCCAAGTGGCCTTATCAATATGCTTTGTCCCACCAAACTGAAACTTTGCTGGCTTGCCTTCACATGGACACAGCCCTGCTAAATGCATTCTTACACTTGCATCACTTCCACAACTTGCCGGCGTGCCCTTATAGTGGCAGAGGAAACATTGTATCACTAATGGCTCAAATGCCCATGTTACAATGGGACTCGACTTACTCTCAGTACGAATCTATCCCTCAACCTCAACCTGATCCACTCGTTAATTCCAATTTACTGGCCATCCACCAATGTACCACCAAGCCAGCATGCCTTGGAATTGTTTATTTGCCAAATGAGCCGATTCAACTAACCACCAGGCAGCAGCTCATTGGAAAATATAGCCCAGGTGGCTGACATCTCCATATAAACCCAAGAAAAAAGAAAGAATGATATGCATTCCTAGGCTGTTTGACCATGACAGAAGTTACATTAACACACTTCTAACTTCAATAATGTACAGTACATACCATCCCAAAATACTGTATTGATTAAATTTCTATATATCAATTAATTTTTGTCTAAATTCGATTTGAACCCATGACCAGTACCAATGTTTGTGGTTTTATCCACTCAGCCACTGGTGGACTCGCTCTTTCGAAGATAAATGTACACAGTATACGTTCAAACTAGTGTTTAAGGAACACAATTTTAGTGAATCCATTAGTTAGCTGATCTAAATTGTGTGTGTTCCCCAGTAAGACAAAATCCTGTAGTGTTGTAGTCTCATAACACTGCAAAAGAGAAAGATAATTTAGTAACTTTATGTAAATATGAATTATTGACAACAACATAATTGATACACTATAAATCATACCTTGCAGTATCGTTTAATTGCTGACAGTCAGTTCCTCATAACAGTTTAAACTGCAGGATACTGAAAATTCAGTTGCTTGGAGCCATCCGGTTATTACAGGGCCTGAAGCATAAGCTTTATTAGTTTCATAGTAGATCCACCACAGCTCTACCGAGTAATATAATTCTGGTTTCAATTGTATACATTTGTTTTTTAGAAGAATATAAAGTTATTGATTTGAAAATTCTTAATTAATTACATAAAGATTTTCATCTAAAATATTTATTTTATTTTTAGAGATTACAGAATTTCAGATTTCCATCTCTTGGGTACATAGTTATTTCGTATTTATTTAAATAACGACGAATAAATTATTTATTTATTCATTTCTAATTTTATTTTCTTTACTTCATTTGTATTTATTCTTATTCTTATTTTAAAGTATTCAATAAAATAAAAAATAAAAAAGTTTAAAATAATAAAAAAAAACATTTAAAAAGTGAACATAAAGAAATTGAAGAAGATATGGAAATTTAAGAGTCCTACAAGATATTCTATAGTCAGTCTTAATCTTTGATTAATTTGAAAGCTTAAATTCCATCTAAATTATATCATATATAATATAAATGTAAATAAAGTCATTCTCTGTAAACAATTTTGAATATAAAATTAATAAAGCTTTTGTTTGATTTGGCATCAAATTATTTTTAAAAAATACAAAAATTGTGTCTTTTTGCTGTTTTTTAAAATTAAAATTACCATTAAATACAATTAAAATTGGTATATTATATTTATTTTCTTGAATAATTTGCATGGTGGAGGTTTTAGATCATATGCGAGGTCCTAGACAAGTATGAACTTGCAGGGGCCTTTTCACATGTATATACAACATGCAGGGACTACATTATGACATTGCATATTATAAAAAGTTTTTGATTTCAACAAATTCTAAATTTCTCGTGTTCTTGCCACATCCTTTGTGCGTGCCAGTTTCTTAATTTTCAGTATTCTTTGTATTTAGTACTGATCATAAAATATGCAAAATTATGGCACAAAAATATTTCCTGTTTATCTCATAATGGTTATGCTCAAATAATGCTTAATGTAGTATTTTTATTTTTCTCATTTCTTTTTACTAGAGTTAGGGCGATTTATAAAATGATCAAGAAATTGGATAGCCTTCGGGTCAACCTTTATTGTGAAAGTCTGAATCTTTCGGATCAGATGTATGGTATTTTTACTGGCAGACTTTTCTTGTATACTATTTGTGCCAAATATCCAAAGAAATCCTTGAGTGGCCGGCATCGTGCAGATTTGAAGGTCTGTTGTGTCTCAAACCTCCTTTGCGGATATTGCTCAAAAAATGTTCTAACATTCATCCAAATTCATGTAGGTGTAACGACTTACAGCCCGTAAAGCTCAAAGCCTTTTTCTGTGACGATGCTTATTCTGATTCATTGTCATGGTGACATTGCTTCATCCAAAACTTTCTGTAGTTAGTCTGTGTAATGTGCTCTTTATTACATGTTGAATGTTACTGTCAAATCTGCTTCCAGTATTCTTATGTCACAACTTTCAATAGTTTGCTTTATTTATATGTTTTTGCTGAGCTTTACTTTTCAACCTGGTTCCACAGTTTATGGGATTTCAAGTATTTTTCAGTCATCATAGCTTCATAATAGAATAGTTTGCATGATAATTTTATATTCATATTAGTCACATGGTAGCCTGCAGATTTTCCTGTGTCCCAGAGAATAAATATAAAAAATTTGGTGCAGATCAGGCAAAAAGCTAAGGATAGAGAAAAACATTCTATCCTCTATGTAGATAATCTGTATCTATATATACAGTGATAGACAAAGATCTCAAAACATGGAAGGTCAAATTTAACACAATTCCAATTTTTGTGTACACACAACAGATGGGAACGTAAAATGAGAACTTTTTCTAATATTCTATTTTTAAATAATTAGGATTGTATTTAATTGAGAGATTAAAAGTAATTGCAAAATGTCATGTCACATGATAACCAATTAACTAACCATGTTAAAATGTAAAAAATGGGCTATTATTTTATAAATACTCAATATTTTTAGATAAAACCTACAGAAGGTTCACAAAAGAGGTGAATAACTCTTTTGTGGACCTTCTGAGAAGCCAAGCCATTAAGCCTATGCAGAGTCCTAGATTCTTTGGAAGCACGGTGTTGTAAATCTAGGCGAAAAAAGCGACAAAATACCTATTGCATAAGACAAAAATGTTCAACAAATTTATTCAAAATTTAAGATGTCCATACTGGTCATCATGAAGAGTAGATATTTTAAATTTCATCCAAATTGGTTCATTAGTCTTGGTGATATTAACGGTCAAAGTTGGCATTTTAACATTAGACGTGTGGCTGAGCTCTATAATGCTACCACAGTTGATGGGAAATGTATAATTTTCAAACATTAAGAGAATAAATACATTAGCTTATTATAAACAAAAATAAATTATTTCTGTTAATTAATTAGTTGTAAAAACATTTTATTTATACATAAATTTGAATAAAAATTTTACAAAATACTAATTGAAAAATTATTCCATGCACTAATTTTATAATGGTAAGTTATTTTTACAAACTTTTTCTTCCTTTACTCTAAACACAATAAATGAGTACAACTTTGTTTATGATCTCACAATAGTCACGGCAGGAATAACTTTTATTTGCACTAGTAACTAATTAACATCGTATGGCTGTTCCAATAGCCATAAAACTACCAAAGGTTCCTCCACCCTGAAGCATTACTTTTCCCATATTTTGGATCAGTTCTCTTCCTCGAAGTCCGTACCTAAAAATTTGAAAAAATATTCAACATTTTGAAAATATATTCTTTATAACTGTTAAATTCTATAGTTAAAGTATTGTAGTAATTAAAAATTAATAACAATTAGCTAATAATTCTTTTGCTACAATACAACATTCAAAGTTTTTGTGCACATAATCTGTAGATTATCTATGCTTAAAAGACAATTTAAAAGGTGGATGTAGATTATGTGATGGACAAGTTATATGCCAATTTTTAATTGCAATTACAAACCAGTACCTATTCAGTAACAGCTGCTCCCATTGGTATGAGGTATATGATAGAATGGGTCTGGTTATGTAGGGATTTTATTTCATTCTAGCAAAATTTTCTTCAGACTGTATGCCATTTCAGGTTATACACACAAAAATACAGTATATACAGAGGTGTAGCTATAGAGGACACACTTGCCTTTGGACCCATTTGTGAGAATTTTATTTTCAATTAACATGGCAATATAAAATTTCATGGAAGATTTTCAGCATCTATAGTACTATAGTATGGGCTCCTGTCTAAGCCAAATTTTGGGGTCCCTTGAAGTGCTTTATATTGAATACAAGGTAGGACAACTGTCAAAACACTAAAACAGGTGCTATTCACATTAGTGTGGGGCCCCTTATCAAATGTAAATTCAAAATACATTTACCTTTTACTACCATTATTTAAAATATTTTTGGTTCTACAAAATTCTTGACGAATTTATTTTTTGCACACAGCATTAAACAATGAGTCAAACTTAAAATAATCCTCTCAATGTATCTCCCTAAAGAAACTTTGCCTTACACATATGCATTCCAGAAATGACTATCAAGAAACAATGTGTTTTGATATATGCTCTGATGTAATGAGAATTTTGATTAATATATTTGACCTGATGATCATCAGAAGAGTGACAAACCCATCAGTTTGTTTACAAGTATTTTTCAAACTTAATGTTTACATTCACTATAATGAAAAAACACACCTTTATAATGTTTGAGTTATACAAAGCAATTCCTTAACTGTTGCATATATTGCATGCACAAAATTTAATAAAAACATTTTTATAGTGACAATGAATTTTCCTATCTAAATATGTACACTGAGTATGGAGTGTACAACCTCACGAAACATCCTTGAAAATTTAGAATTATTATTTCTTGCAACTTTGTCTATTTATTAGATAATTGTGCAAAAATAATGTCATGAAAAATAAAGATTTTCAGTGGTACAATAAAAGAAATGTGAAACCACTTTGCATTGAGATTGTCATACATCTAAGTGTATTTGTGCTTTATTTTTGATCTAAGACATTTTTTTTGTTGTTTTATGAAAGTACTTTTAAGTAAAAATAATTTTTACTTACAATTTATTCATTTCCAAAAAAGCAAAACAAAGAAATTAGTATTTTTTGGTTTTTATATTTACTTTAATCTTCTCAGAAAGATATGTATGTAATAATGTGCTTATAATACCTCAATTATGCTTGCATTACATATATAGTTTTTATTTTATGATCTTTCCCACAAGAACATACTTGTATTAATTTTTTTTTTATCTATCAAGGGAACAAGTAGACAATTTCCTGTAGACATTGGTTTGCATTAGAGCTCAGCTCTGATTCCTTACCTATTTGTCTTTATTAAGGATGTGCTGACATGAGACTTACAAGATGAAATACCTTGGTGATGCTATTTGCAGATGACATTGCATTTATTGTAGACAAGGACAAATTACACTGCAAGTTAGAAAAGTGGAGGGTAAAACTGGAAGAAAAAGGCTTAAAGACTAGCAGAATTGAAATGTGCTTTTGGGGAAGATGCTTCTGAGAATGAAGTTGATAGAGTGAGAGTGAAAGATTCAGATATTTGGGTCAGTATTCCAGCAAGATGGAGAGAGTGATGAAGATATGACAGAGTTGCAGCTAGTTGGACTAAATGGAGAGGGACTGGTGAAGTACTTTATGACAAAAGAATGTCTCCAAGATTAAAAGGAAAATTTTAAAATGGTTGTTAGGTCTTCAATGTTGTACAGTCCAAAGTGCCGGGCTGTGATGAAAGTGCAAATACAGTGAATGCATGTTACAGAAATTCAGATGCTGAGATGGATGAGTGGTGTCACAAGGAAAGATAAGATGAGGAATAGTTACATCAGGGGAAGCTTGGGCATCACAGAAATAGAAGAAAAATTGAGGGAAAATCAACTGAAGTGGTTTGGGCATGTGCAACACCACCCAGAAACAGTATGAAGAGTCCTGAGAATATTAGTGGGAAGGGGTGAAAGGAGAGGAAGGTCTAGAAAGATTTGGAATGAGATCCTTAAACAAGATATGCAGGAGTGTGATGTCTCTGCGGAATTTGTTTTGGACAGGACAGAATGAAAGAGAAAGACTTAGTGCTGACCCCATAGAGTTGGGAAAAGATCGAGAAGAAATCAAGGGGACAGGATCATCACCAATTTCTAAAAGCACTTCATTTGATTATATCTTCATCATAATGAATGAAAATTCACCTATTTGTTATTTTTACCTACTAACAAAGATAATCTTTAAAAAAAAAGTTTTTCAAATTTTTCTTTTTAAAATGACACACTATAAGTATTGTGGATGTGATACATCTGAAACAAGCTCAAATCATTAAATGAAACTACACCTTAAGTCCAAAACTGTTGTTTTTAGTAACAACAGGATATAAAAAATGTTGCAAAAAAAAAATAATACTTGAATAAATAAATGAGAGTTATATATATATATATATATATATAACCATCAANTTAATTTTGAAAGAAATTTAGAGCAATAAAAATCCATTATCTGTTCTATCAACATAACTATAATCATAACTTAAAAATTTTAATTGTGCCATTCAATTCTCTTCTCTTTATTCATAGAAATTTAAAACTAAATTTGTACTTCATAATTTATTTCTTAAGATACTAATTATCAATTTTTGTCCCATTCTTTTTAAAAATAAGAAAATTTCAATTTCTTTTCTAGGCCTTGCTTGCTACCTTTTTGAAATCTATATACAAAAGTCATCCAGAAAATAATGTTTGGCCATTAAAAAACAATAAATAAATAAAAAGGGTACAAAAAATAACAACCTATAGGATAACACAGTAAATATTGATAGAAAAGGTTGAGTTAAAAATAAAAATTGGATTTTAATGACTATCAAAAGTTACTCAGACTAAAATATGTTCATGCCCCCAATATCAATTATAAAAATGATTACAAAACTTCTTTGTAATACTTAAGATGGTAAATACAATAGAACTTAAATCTTTTCAATTAAGAAACAGATAAATGAGACAACTTTGGAGTCGGAATAAAGTAATAGATGATATAAAGTTATCAAATTAACAGTAGATACAAAGTGCAAAAAATTTACTCATACATCCCTCATTACATCAGGGTCATGTGGATGGCTCACTGAATTGTTACAAAATTTCATCACAAAAAGTTTATCAACTCTCTGTACAAAATGATAGGGAAACTTAAGAACTTTTGAACCAATAACTTCAGAATAGATCATTGATTGGATCCAAAAGCAAAGTTGATTACATTTCCATAGACCAACCCCTATCTATCAACACCTAATTTGTTGAAATATGCCAAGAAAACTAGAAGAAGGTTGGCTAACAAAAATCTTCTTAGCATAATTATATATATATATATATATATTAGCAGGAGGAGAATATCAACAGAACAAATCCAGTAAGATTTTTCACATTATTATTTGAGTAACAATGCAACACTCAACACATTTCATTTCAACATATGGTTAGTGACAACACTGAATAAATGTGCAATTTTTTAGTTTAACAATAGACATCATACTTATTATTAGAAGGCACTGTTTATTATAAAAATCCAAGATTAATTATAATATATATTTACCTAAGAGCTGAAAATCCTCCAAACAATGCTCCTGATGCCATTCCAACACAAAATCCTATGGCAAAACCCATTTTAACTCTATCCCAACAACTTGGACCTTGTTGATATCGACCTACTGGTACTGGCATTTTTCTATGACTAGCTGTTTCCTGTAAATGTTTATTTAATAAATTCAAAATTTTTAAAATATTAAAATAAAATTTTGTTTAGATTAATGAATCTTTTTTACTACATATTTACAGAGAGAAAGAGTAGTTTACTATGACAAGAAGGAATTCTATATAAAAGAAAACAAAATTACTTTAAAATCTACTTTTTAAAAGTATGGCAACTAATATCCAACCTCTAGTCCAAATTATATGTTTATATTTAATTAGCCAAGTTATACCCTGACAATGAATCCAGCTTTATCATTTCATTATCATCATATATCATCACACATATTAATATATCATTGAGCTTGGTTTTCTATATGAATAAATTAAAATTTTATGTCCTTACATTTGGTTTAGTTTTTCTATCAGGTAAGTGCAAAGAGGATTAATTTCAGTAATATAAGAGTTTGGAAATAAGATTTAAATTATTATTGTTATATATGCATATATATTAATAATAGTGTAATAATATATATATTTCTAATTCTAATTATAATTCTAAGAAAAAAAAATAAACTCTCACACTACTTAAAACAACCTGATTTTGTGCTATTTCACTATTGAGCTCTGAGAATTCACATCATGTGACTCACTTGTTCAGTCTTAACAATTTCTTAAATGAATTACAGTACTTTTATTGCTAAAAAAATTCATTTAAGAAGCTGTTTGAAGAAATTGAAATAAAGATTGTATTCAGGTGGATGATCAAATGCAACAGCACATGCTTATAAAGTTCATGTTTAAAATTGATTAAAAACAAAGTTAACTGAAATTGGAATGTTTTAAAACCCAGAATCCTTGCATTTTGGCAATTTTCCCCAATAGTGTCTATAGGCATAGCCGAAATGCTATTCCATTTTCACAGCTGTTGCTGTGAAATTAATTTTTATACTGCAAATCTCCCAAAACTTGGACATATTCTGCATCCTTGTATTTATCAAGTATTTTTTCATAAAATTAATAGAACCTATCTGTTAAAGGGATACAGAATCTTTGAAATCACTTTTTTCCGTAATTATGATTCAGAATAGTTTCCTAATATTTTTATTTTTCTGCAGGACATATAGTATATAAAATGATACCTTATAAATAAATTTTCTATCACTTTAATTATGTAGAAAATATTTGAAATAAATTGATTTAATACTGATAAATTTTTATTGAACTGTACATTTTATAAAACAATATCATCACTTGCTCCCTCAGTAATTTTAGTATTAAATTATTTATTCAATACTAAAATTTCAAATATTTCATATAACAAATAAAATTTCAATATTTAAAAAATCTGCATTATTGCAGTTTTATTTTGAAGATTTCTATCAATTAGTAGTAGTAGTAGTTCCTCCAATGCTAAGTAGCATACTAGGCAGAAATTATCTTCATTCGATTTCAATCATGGGCAAGGACTTCAGCTTCCTCCCACGTCATATTGAGCATCTTCAGATCTTGGAGAAAAGTTTCATGCATTCCATGGAAAAGCAAAGGTTATATAGGAGACTCCTGGGGCGTCCTCACAGTCGTTTGGCACCAGGAGGAACAGATTTCATGGCTGTCTTAGGGATCCTATTGTTCTCCATACAAAAAATGTGGCTGGCTAATTGAACTCTTCTACAGGCAACAATGTTATGAAGTTTGCACATCCCAATCCTTTGGAGAACCTCTTTATTGGTGATATGGTCTAAATAGTGGATCTTTAAGATTCATCGTAAACATTTCTGTTGCAAGACAGAAATTTTCACCCATCTATTGATGTTTTCCAATATCTTACAGGACTCACTAGCATAAACAGCTATCAGAATCATGATGGAGATGAATGGGTGGAATTTGGTTCTAAGCATGAGATAAAAAACAGGAAAATAAAATTACATTGCCAAAGTCTGGGAGCCATGGGTTGTTTTGATTTAGTCTACAGTAAAATTTGTTAATTATGTTGAAATTTCCAAGAACCTATTGACAACATCAAGTACTTTCATTTTTCATTGAAATGCTGATGACACCAAGTTTTAAATATCTTAGGCATTCATTTAAACAGATCTAACAGACAAGTAAATGCATTGTTTCATTCTTTAAGTATCTAAATTATATTAATGCAATGAATAAGCAAATCATGAAGACAGAAGAATGAATCAGTGGCATAACATCTAATATATGAGTTAAATGATGAACAGCAGGAAAGGTCTACATATAATTATATGTATTTTAATATATTAATATATCATTAACAAAACCATCAAATAAAGAAAAATATAATAATTAAATTCTCATTATATACATACATATATATATATATATATTAGCAGGAGGAGAATATCAACAGAACAAATCCAGTAAGATTTTTCACATTATTATTTGAGTAACAATGCAACACTCAACACATTTCATTTCAACATATGGTTAGAGTGACAACACTGAATAAATGTGCAAATTTTTAGTTTAACAATAGACATCATACTTATTATTAGAAGGCACTGTTTATTATAAAAATCCAAGATTAATTATAATATATATTTACCTAAGAGCTGAAAATCCTCCAAACAATGCTCCTGATGCCATTCCAACACAAAATCCTATGGCAAAACCCATTTTAACTCTATCCCAACAACTTGGACCTTGTTGATATCGACCTACTGGTACTGGCATTTTTCTATGACTAGCTGTTTCCTGTAAATGTTTATTTAATAAATTCAAAATTTTTAAAATATTAAAATAAAATTTTGTTTAGATTAATGAATCTTTTTTACTACATATTTACAGAGAGAGAGAGTAGTTTACTATGACAAGAAGGAATTCTATATAAAAGAAAACAAAATTACTTTAAAATCTACTTTTTAAAAGTATGGCAACTAATATCCAACCTCTAGTCCAAATTATATGTTTATATTTAATTAGCCAAGTTATACCCTGACAATGAATCCAGCTTTATCATTTCATTATCATCATATATCATCACACATATTAATATATCATTGAGCTTGGTTTTCTATATGAATAAATTAAAATTTTATGTCGTTACATTTGGTTTAGTTTTTCTATCAGGTAAGTGCAAAGAGGATTAATTTCAGTAATATAAGAGTTTGGAAATAAGATTTAAATTATTATTGTTATATATGCATATATATTAATAATAGTGTAATAATATATATATTTCTAATTCTAATTATAATTCTAAGAAAAAAAAATAAACTCTCACACTACTTAAAACAACCTGATTTTGTGCTATTTCACTATTGAGCTCTGAGAATTCACATCATGTGACTCACTTGTTCAGTCTTAACAATTTCTTAAATGAATTACAGTACTTTTATTGCTAAAAAAATTCATTTAAGAAGCTGTTTGAAGAAATTGAAATAAAGATTGTATTCAGGTGGATGATCAAATGCAACAGCACATGCTTATAAAGTTCATGTTTAAAATTGATTAAAAACAAAGTTAACTGAAATTGGAATGTTTTAAAACCCAGAATCCTTGCATTTTGGCAATTTTCCCCAATAGTGTCTATAGGCATAGCCGAAATGCTATTCCATTTTCACAGCTGTTGCTGTGAAATTAATTTTTATACTGCAAATCTCCCAAAACTTGGACGTATTCTGCATCCTTGTATTTATCAAGTATTTTTTCATAAAATTAATAGAACCTATCTGTTAAAGGGATACAGAATCTTTGAAATCACTTTTTTCCGTAATTATGATTCAGAATAGTTTCCTAATATTTTTATTTTTCTGCAGGACATATAGTATATAAAATGATACCTTATAAATAAATTTTCTATCACTTTAATTATGTAGAAAATATTTGAAATAAATTGATTTAATACTGATAAATTTTTATTGAACTGTACATTTTATAAAACAATATCATCACTTGCTCCCTCAGTAATTTTAGTATTAAATTATTTATTCAATACTAAAATTTCAAATATTTCATATAACAAATAAAATTTCAATATTTAAAAAATCTGCATTATTGCAGTTTTATTTTGAAGATTTCTATCAATTAGTAGTAGTAGTAGTTCCTCCAATGCTAAGTAGCATACTAGGCAGAAATTATCTTCATTCGATTTCAATCATGGGCAAGGACTTCAGCTTCCTCCCACGTCATATTGAGCATCTTCAGATCTTGGAGAAAAGTTTCATGCATTCCATGGAAAAGCAAAGGTTATATAGGAGACTCCTGGGGCGTCCTCACAGTCGTTTGGCACCAGGAGGAACAGATTTCATGGCTGTCTTAGGGATCCTATTGTTCTCCATACAAAAAATGTGGCTGGCTAATTGAACTCTTCTACAGGCAACAATGTTATGAAGTTTGCACATCCCAATCCTTTGGAGAACCTCTTTATTGGTGATATGGTCTAAATAGTGGATCTTTAAGATTCATCGTAAACATTTCTGTTGCAAGACAGAAATTTTCACCCATCTATTGATGTTTTCCAATATCTTACAGGACTCACTAGCATAAACAGCTATCAGAATCATGATGGAGATGAATGGGTGGAATTTGGTTCTCAATGAGATGGATGGTGAGGACCAGATCTTGTTCATCCGTCAGAAAACGGTCATCACCTTTCAAACCCATCTATTGATGTTTTCCAATATCTTACAGGACTCACTAGCATAAACAGCTATCAGAATCATGATGGAGATGAATGGGTGGAATTTGGTTCTCAATGAGATGGATGGTGAGGACCAGATCTTGTTCATCCGTCAGAAAACGGTCATCACCTTTCAAACCCATCTATTGATGTTTTCCAATATCTTACAGGACTCACTAGCATAAACAGCTATCAGAATCATGATGGAGATGAATGGGTGGAATTTGGTTCTCAATGAGATGGATGGTGAGGACCAGATCTTGTTCATCCGTCAGAAAACGGTCATCACCTTTCCGATGCAGCACTTCAAATCCACTTCCGTATTACTGTTTTGAGAAATAACACTATCCAAATAGATAAAACTCTCCACTTCCTCCAATCGTTGTGTTCCAACAATTACTCCCTGCGCTAGTGC